CTCTCTCTCTCACCAAGGTGTATCCCTCTGAATACCTCTTGAGTCGCTCGGCCTCACAACCTCACACTTGACCTCGCCATGGCTGCTCCGTAGGGCACCCAGCGCTGTAGACTACTACTACCAGGTTAGTACCAGCCAGACCCACAAACAGCACAATTGGCAGCAACTCCAAACTGTGCACTCCTCAGTATCCCAAATAGTGCAGCATCCCTTCCGCATGGACTAGCAAGTGAATATGTGTTTGACTGCTTCTGCAGCTGAACTTTTGTAGTTGACAATCTGCCCTTCCAGACTTCAGCTACCGGTTATGGGTCCGGTACCCTGCCTATGTTTGTCGCTTCCAGAAGTTTGTGGACTTTCCTGGGACTTCTTTTGCTGACTCGACCGCCTGACAGCCGGCCTAACGACTTCTATTGACTTTTTCTAACCCATAACTTTTACCTACCAGGAACTTCCTACCGCGGCGTACTTAAAAGCTAACCTAGTCCTTCAGGACATTCCGTTAAAGTTGGAACAATACAGAGATGATTAGCATGGCCCCTGCGCAACGATGACACACATAAAAGCTAACCTACCTAGCCATTTGCCGTGTTACCAACCGGGCTGCTCGGGTCAATATTGATTGCCCGGGCAGCCCGGCCGGGCAAGGGCCAGGGAAGGGCCCTGTTAAAAAAAAAAAAAAAAAAAAAAAGAACCAAAAAGATCCGGAACAAAAAAAGTTAAAAAAGAACCATGTTGCGCAGAAAAAAAGACTGAACTTTTGCCTCAGGGTCACAATGAAATTCTTTGCCTTCTTTAAGTTCTTTTTTTTTTTTTTTTTTTTTTTTTTTGTGGCAAGACCGCCCAAGTGGTCCCACGTGACTCTGGTAACATAGGCCATTTGTGGGAAACAAATAAAATAAAAATTGTACAAGCGACTGGTACCATCAATGGAACTGGGAACTCGGACTGGAACTGGGACTGGGACTGGGACCATGGACGCACCGCTGTAAAAAGCCTGTTACAGTGTTACTCCTTTCACTCCTGCTATCCTGCTAGCCTAGTTTCGAGGTCCTATGAGAAAAGCTACAGCTTTATCAGCCACTCTAGGAAGGAGGTGAAACCGAGAAAGATATATATTTTCTTCTTCTTCTTCTTCAATACAAGAACAACCACACTTCGAGAGGTAAACTCGAAACAGAGTGTATCATCGATTGCAGGTTTTAGTCTAGCATCAACATAAAAGTCTTCCGGTGTGTGAGCAGACGACTTACTGGCCGGCACTACTTCGATCATGGAGGAAAATTATCCCTAACAAGACAAACAAACCTAAATCCAAGGATGAAGTACTAAGACAACCGCTGTTCAGGAATGAATGGGTAACAAACGGGGCTGACAACCCACTTTTCCTAGAACAAAGATGGCTGTCGTGGGTTAAGAACGGTATATGGAAAGTAGATCACTTGTGGAAGGAGGGCAGGAAAGACTGGATAACGGAACAAGAAGTTAGTGCCCGACTGAAAGGATGCCACAAACGAGGGACCAATCTTCAGTATATACTTAGTCGTATTCCACAGGAGTGGAAATATATCCTGAAAAAAGATGACGCGTGGAGACCGGGCGAATGGGGTCTGATGATCCAAGACACAACCCCTTCTAGAGCATATCAATTTTCCCACTTGCTGCAAGGCTCTCACACCAGGGCCACTTTCCTCTCCTTCCCGATTTCCCTCACCAATAAGGATATGCCAGCTATTTTGAAACTGCGATGTAGAATCTTCTATACTAGATTCCTTCCTCCTCAGGAAAGTAAGGGTCCTAGGTACATGGCCAAAGGCAATCTTCAGACCGGACACTGCAATCCGTTCCTTGGAATTCGACCCCGCGGAATGGGCCTGGAAGCCTAATACTACGAGCAACTACAAGGCAAAGATCCCAATACAGGATTACTCAGTCAAACTTGGGTACAGACTGTCTCTGAAGACCAAGAATCCGGACCCTATTATCAAAAACAGATGGCGGAACCTCGTGGGTCAAGCAGCAGACAAAATTACACGAATCCATTGGGAAAAATTCAAACGTATCAGACCAATCAAGATTAGAAGCTTGCAATGGCTGATTGTTTACGCAGCCCTACCGGTGAACCAATGGCTGCACATTAGACGGAATGCCACAGACCCAGAAAGCTCGGAATTATGCTCAGTCTACTCCGAAGGTGCGACAGAAGATGTAGTTCACTGCCTAGTGCTTTGTAAAGAGGCGACCAAATACTGGACGAGGGCTTTTTCACTCTGGGACTCCCTCTTCACATCCCCCTTCCCCGAACAACCCATCCAACTCACCTCTTGACTAACATCCCTGAGCAGGCACTGAAGGCTGAGAGGATCTGGTTTGAACTCATCAGGAAAGTGACCCTATGGGTCGTATGGAAGGAGAGATGCAGCAGAACAATTGAAGGACGGTCCAACCCACGGGAGAAGGTGTGGATAGAAACTAAAACATTGATCCAAGCTGAGATCCT